AGCTGATTTGAAGATTAGGGAGCAGCTAATAACAAGAGAGCGGGATAAATGAGATTGGGCTATCTTAACTCACTCGTGAATTAGGTACAAGTGAAAATGTTCTATTTTTAATGTATATGATCGTGATGACATACATTTAGAAAGACAGAAAGTAGACTGTTGTTATGAGACTGTACAAGAAATATGGGGAGAGGGACTTCTCATTGGGCTGAAGAGAAAAGGAACTTAGGTAAGAACTGTCTCATGCTCACACGTTATCAAGGGTTATGGGTGAATTTCCTAGCTATGGAGATTTTTCAGTCAGTATATGATAGTTTTCCAAAATACATACTCTAAAGTTCCTCTTTGACTGTTAGATCTGAAATGGGAGTTATTTTGGTGGAAATCCTGTGAACTGAAAATTAAGGGGATACCCTCTGTGATTATATTTTAAAACCATGAAAACTAACTACACCTCTGTTGAGCAAGTGGCTTCTCAGCCTAAGTGAACATAGATGAACATGGGTGACCCCAAGAGACTGACCTAAACTCACAGTGGGACAAGCAGAACTGGAACCTCGATATCCAGGACAGCAGTGTCTTATCCTTGGTCCACTATATCTCAGCTTTACTGTTATTGCCAGTGTTTCCTTACCTAAGGACTTAAACCAACCCCATTTCAAATATCATTGGCAGCTACTGCAGTAGGAACTGAGCTGAGTATTGAAGCAACAAAGGCAACTCCCCTTTCTGCCACATTTCTTCTTTTCTAATAAATGTGTCTCTTTATGACACATAGAATTTCAAACACCTGTCTCTCTGAGCCTTCTTAAGACTCTACCAAACTACGTATAAAAATAATAACCTCATAAAGCAAACACAAGATGACGAAGTAGTAAAGAGTGTAGTAAAGAATTGCAAATATGAACGTTGTAAAAAGTTAAACTAATCCCTTGAGCAGAAGAGGACTTCATTTTTCAAAGGTATGTGTGACTATGCTAAAGAATTTGCAGATTTAAATCCCTTCATGGCAGTCACTTTGCCAACAGACAATAAAGTTGCAGTTTAAAACTGCATTCATCTTCTACAAAAGGCAGCAGAGAGCTTTCAGTGTGTTTTAAACATAATTTTTTTTCTTGTATTACCAACTACTTTGGGGGGGGGGGGGAAAGGGGGGGGAAGCGCCATTAAAACTTTCAATTATCAAGACGTGGCCAATAAACCTCTTTCTCTCACTCCTTCCACATCACACCTTGCCTTTTCCTCTGGTCTCTGAGGTTGTTATACTTGCATATTTGGTCATCATTCTCCTTGTTTTTGAGCTATGGTAATGCACCTAAATGTCTTCCAGACCCAACCTAGCTCTGCATGGCTATGTCCCAGCCTGGGCAGAGGGGATGCATGTCTTTCCACATAATAGATACACCTCAGTTCAGTCTGTTTGTGCCTAAGCTTTTCAGATTCCAAAGTCTCTGAAGAAAAGGCTTATCTTGCTTTTGAGTATAACCACCATGCTCCCTGTATCTCACATTCTGTACCCTATCAGAAACTTGTAAGTGTCCAAGTGTCACCTGAATATTGCAGCAGGGAGGTGTTTAAAAAGGAGGAAAACCAAGAAAATAGTAGGCATGAAGAAACATTCAGGACAGGAAAAAAAGATCTTTTAGTAGATGCCATTGAGGTTAAGAGGCATTCATGTATTTTCCTACATTTTATTGAGGTGTAGGACTGTCACACTTGGATGAAATGAGTCATTTATGTATTAAGAAGTTTATCTATCTATATCCTATGGTTGTCATTATCCTAGCTGCTGAGTGTCTTACAGGCTATAACATCTTCATCCCCAGAATAGCTCTGTGAATTAGGTAGGTCCCCTGGCGCTTTTTTTTCTGATTTTTTTTTTTTTCCCCACGGCCAAATTTGATCTTTCATATAGTTAAAAAATATTTTGAAGATAAAGAGAAAGTCATTAGACCTTTCAATAATTAAGTTTTTGGTTCTTTCTCCACGTTACTCTACTTTCCATTGCTTTCAGCAGCCCCTTGATCTGAAGCACAAAGAAGAGGCCATCTTGCCTGGGGCAGGAAAACTGCTGCTTCACTGAGCTGAATATTAGGATCATGTAAAAAAAACAGCCAAGGTAATTCATCACAGCTCAAGACGTCTGCTTTTCTTAAGCTTCCTGGAGGTGGTGTATAGGCAAGGCAGCATTACTGGATCCTTTATGCCAAGCCTCTCCAACATATAATTTTTAATCTTGCTGGAAAAGAAGCAAGAACAACAAAACCAGTGTTTTCCTAATGTAATTATCGTCTAAGGATATTCAAGCCTGTTTTCCTCTATGCATCACTGCTTTCCCACACATACACACTGAGGACATATAAGGTAGCAGTTGGAAACTACCAAAAAACAACAACAACAACAAACAAACAAACAAACACAACAAATACGAGTACTCAGAGTTTCTGCCTAATATTAGATGACAATTACATAGTGTTATATCTCAGTAAGCGTGAGCAAAAGGCATGAACACCTGTTATGCATTTGGTATCATGTTGTTGGATACAAACCTACCCACATTCCTAAGTGGCTTGATTTTTCTCAGTATCAATGCCCAGACACTTCTGTATAGCAGCATTTTTATAGAGGTCTCACTCAGTAGCCACTAAGATAGGCTAAATCATTAGTTTCTTGTGCAAATGCAGTCAACAGTGATGATTATGTTACCTCCATGTGTGTATAATAAATTAGACAAAAATAACAATGTGCTGTCTTACAGATAACAAAGAAAAAAGATAAAAATAAAATTTGTATTATTTTGATTATGAAGCCATGAAAGGGATACGTCTGTGTTTGCTGCTTGGTAGGAAGGAAGATGTGCTAGTTCTTTAGTAAAAAGTAACTTTTAAATTATTGTATGTAGGTGAATCTGCTCCTTAAAGGTAATTCAGTAGTCGTTTTGACCCTTTTTGATGCAAAAGGAAAAAAAGAAAAGTTATTTTTACAGATTTTCTTCTTTAGCTTGATCTTTTAGTTTCTTCTCCATTCTGCTGAGCTTTATTGATAGGTGCTGAAAAACCTTATAAGAAGAGAAAAGAAGGAAATATACACATATATATTTTCACTTTCAATAAACAGTTTCTGTCCTACAAGTACATTAATGACATTGTTAGGCAAATTACATTTTCTCACATAGGACATGGCAGGAACTTTGTGAACAGCTACTCTAAACTGTCATTTATTGGGAACCAGTAGATTACAGCTACAATTGTACCAAGGTGGGATGAATTTGCTTTTAGACCACAGAGATTCTGTTTTTTGTTCCCTTCCATATCCAATTAAACCTGGAAAATCAAAATAAAGCTGAAAAGTTTTGCTTAGTTTCCAATCAGAACAGCAAATCCTTGCAGTCATGCTTGAAATCCTAGGTGACACCAGCACAGAAGGCTTGTGAACTAGAAACTGCAGCTCAAGTTAGAAAAATGGCCACAGAGGATAAATGAATGGTATCTGATAAGGGCTTTCATTAAAACTCTTTAACATGCCTCTAGTTCTGTCACGTGCTAGAAAAGTGTGAGAAGGCCTGAGCACCCAGCAACAGTGGACAAGTATCCAAATTTTATATATGCAGTTATATATGCAGTGCTTGCCAAGAAAATTAAAAGTGTACTAAATAACACATATATATGTTTTATTGGAGTCTTATAAAGATGTTCTGTGTTGTTCATAATGGGTAGAAAGATTCTGGAGAATAACTAAGAGACCCTTGCTTCAGGATTAATAATTTAATATCAGAAGACTGGGGGGTATGAGTCCTGAGGCTGAAAAATCCTTTTTTCTTTTCTACCAGACAGGTTGGTCACTGCAAGAAAATACTGCTTTTTCCCTAGAATAACCTCTGGGCAAGACTCTAAATGACATAATAACTTGTTTTAGCTTTTATTTAGTATTTATATAGCTTCATCATACTGTTATCTGAACATCTGATTGATCTTTACAATCTCTCTGAGCTGAGAAAACAGTATTTGTATGGATATATATAGAGAGATAAGAGACACAGCCACACTAGAAAGCAAAAAAAAAAGAACTTCACTGTCACAATCACTTGTACTGCACTGTCAATAATATCGATGCTTGGGAGCGCCAAATGCCTAGCTTTACTCTGAAGGGTCTGGGGAGGACTACAGGCAACAGGTGGGATAACCAAAACATTAGAGGACATATGGAAACTTAAATCTAGCCCCTCGGAAAATGCTGAGGAGAAAGGTGTACCATAAACCCCATAAATACCTAGGATTTTAAAATTATCATTAAGCCGATAGGGATAACAGTTCTTCTGTTTGTTTGTTTTGTTTTGTTTTTAAGTTGGTGCAGTACTTGCTTAATGCAATAGTGTTCAAAATATACAGATACTACAGATATTAGAATCTGAGTTTGGTCCATCTCCCCCATGAATGTCCCCCTTAGTGTCAGTAAAGGTTGAAGAGGAAGTGTGTAGCTAGGTTGTCAGAGAAATCACTTTTACATGGTGAACTTCTAACTCCCATTCAAAGACTACTAGTTTTATCCAATGATTACTTCATTACAGTAGGGAGCAAAAATCCAACACTGCGCACATCCATCTGAAAGGCATTTCTGCACACAGTGAAAGAGAAATACAACCACCAGTCTGGTAGAAACTTCAGTGCTGAATAAAAATATGGAAATCTTCATCCCAATGATGCCCTTAAGGTCATAGAAGACTAGATCAAAATGGGAAGCTTAAGCCATGTCTCCAGTCAGGGCTAGCACGATAATGATGAACATATATTGCAATTTTTCAGCATAATTCTGTGAGTGCCTACACACACACATGGCCCTACATATCATCTTAGTTACATGTCATCTTATTTACACATCATTGTAGCCTTGTTGTGTTCACTATTTTGGAACACATTTAGGAACAAGGCTATTAATATGTGTAAGTATTAACAGGATTGGGCTGAGAACTGTCCAAGTAACAGCCCAACTAATATTCTAAACTGGACAGATGGATAAGATATGCTTTTGGCAGCCTTTCTCATTTCCCTCTCAAACAGGTCACAATTGCTTATAAAACAGGGTTTTTACTGCAGCATTCATTTATATGATTTATTTTTCTGATGCTTAGAGTTTATAATTCATTTGCTCTATTTCCTGTTGGTATTTTCTTCCATTTATTCCTGGTTTGTTTATATAAGTACATATATTCATTTATGTAAATAAATATAAATGTTCTCTTCCAAATACTTATGGTTTCCCATGAACAGTCTATGCTCCTTTTCTTGTATCATCCTATATAGATAAAAATTAGGAAGAGATTAATTTTCAGCTGATCTGATTGCATTCTGTCATGGACACAACATCAGGATTTATATTGCACTGCGTTGAATATTGGGAGCAAAGCATCATGACTGCAGGTAAAGTCAGAATCTGTAATATTCACCCCATGCTTATATTACAGGTCTGGGCAGGAATATTAGACTGAGGAGATAAAATGCAGAAATCAGAGATAGATTTGTTTTTATTCCAAAATAAATTTATTTAATATAGAAGAAGATCATGGAAAGTGGCCTTTTCTTAGGCTTTTTTTAGGCCTTTCCTTGATTATGATTTCCCGTTTCTGATTATGGATCTGGGGTGATCCTACGCAACTAAGGGGAGCATCTCTACTACTTCACATTATACCAGTGTGGGATAATGTGCTTGTAGTAGTCCAGTTGCAAAGACCCCTTGCTTCAAACACACTCTCCTAAGATACTTCAAAAAATTTCACTACATCAAAAAGAGATGCTGAATTCTTTGCACAGAAACTATATTCTCCTTTCTTTCTTCACTCAAAAGAGTAGGGATGCCAATGGCACCCTGGACTTCCTAACTGCAGAAAAGGACACAGATCAGAAGAATGTGCTGACAGCTCAGGAAATCCTTTGTGTCAATGAAAAGTTAGGAATTATTTGGACATCATTTTCCTTCCTTCAGCTCCTTTTTATAAACGCTATACATTTTACAGGAAATTATTAGGACTTTACTGAGCCATCCAGCTGTAAGTCATTAAGCTTTTTGCAGATAGCTCTGCTAGTTTTCTACAGCAAACAATGGCTTCACCATTCTGATTTTGGTGGTACTCTTCTATGAATGGATGGAGATATCAGTCTTGATTCCTTCCCAGATAATCAGCAGTAGCAGAATAACTCTAGGCCTGTAAGAAAGGATTTTAAAAACATGTTTTAGTAGAGTAGGTTTGAGCACAGAATGGTGAGACAGGTATCTTTATTGCTGCTCTCAGTCTTAACTAAGGCCAATGAAAAACTTCCCATTAATCTCACTGGAAAATGGATCAGGCCCTAGGTGCCTTCCTGTGCCCTTGGAAATGCTGGTTTCTGCATTGAGTCCTGCTTTTAAGACAAGACAAAACAGAGTGAAGGAATTTCAAGGCATTTTTCCCCACTTAGGAATTTGCAGTAATCCAAGCTCCTTCAAGGTCTGCATCACTGCCAATGCTTGTCTGTAGACCTAATGTATTGATGAAAACATGCGTGCAAGCAACTGTATTTCATGCTAGTAATATGGAATGCTAGCTGTTAAAAAATAACCTGGAAAACTTCCCACCATGTGCATCTGGTTCTGCATTAAAGAAAATGAGACTGACCCATGAAGCAGTTGTAATTTTGTGTTGTTTTCTGTTTAAAAAAAAATAAAAATCTGCACAATTCCACATCCCTTCCATACTTTGAGGCACCAGATGGCTTAGTTTCTTGCTTCTCTTATTAAAGGCATATTTATATATTCAAAATACCTATGTGTACTTTAAAAGGTCCGTTTTCTCCCATGTGTGACAATCCATTTAAATTGCTGCAGAAGTCTAATTCTCTTTGCCCATGTAGGAAAATAACACCTTTGTAAAAGGTGTTAACAAAAGTTTTGGTTGCTCCAAGTAACCATTTAGTAGATGGGAAAAAAAAAAAAAAAAAAAAAAAAAACAAACAGAAAAAACAAACAAACAAACAAACAAAACTTTCCTTGCAGCTTGCATCAAATGGAAAATAAGTATGGCTATTAGTAGCTTTTCTGAAATGAGCTCAATACATACAGCACAGTGAGGTACTACAAGCACAGAAAATACCAACAGCAACATTATTGGAATTAGCTAACATACTTGTTTCTCTTCAGACATCTCTCTAGGTATAGATTTGTGCTGGTGACCCCGTTTCCTTTGTATTGGTGATCCCAAATAAACAACAGGATGCTGTGAGAAAACTTGCATAACCATATTCTGCCTCAAACTGAAGCAGCAGCATCGGTTTTCAAGACTATCTTTATTACACAACAAAAGCCAAACAATAGATGAAGTACTATCACAGCCCTACAGCTATGTGAATAGCCAATTTTTCAAATTTCTGGCAGTTCTGAATTTGTTTTAGGTTGACCTGTATGGTAATTTGTCATACAGATTATTAAGCTATCTAAAAGCAAAAGAAAAAATAATTCCAGCACTGAATGATGCATTTCTTCAAAATTGTTGGTGTTTTTTTGCATAGCTTAAGAACATTTTAAAAGGATAATTGAATTTTAAAAATAAGTTTATTTTGTCAAATTCTAAAGCTGAACATTTTGTATTTTTATTTTCATCTTTTTAAGATGTTTGAAACAATCCAGAAATCAGTTTATAACATGGTTGTCCATCAAGATATGGAAGAAATAATGAAATTACTGTAAAAATATTGATCCTATTATACTATTTGCAGGATCATCAAGCAGTTTTAGTTAGAGGACTATATCTTCATTAGAACTATCACGTAAGCATCCCCTGTGATTGCGTGGTTTGCACCATGTCTAGTATCTTTTTCAATATCCCATTTGCTCAGCATCCCTGTAGTAACTAAAACAATTGCTAACAGCAGAATAGACTGGGTCTCCAGTGAATGGTGCCTTTATACATCTGGGATCTTCTTATCTCTCTGAATAAATGAATGGAAAGAAGAAGGAATCAATGTCAAGTGAACTTCCAGCTTTGTATGATTCACTGAGAACTATATATTCTTACTGCAAATGGCTCAAAGTCTGTACACTGAGAATAGTGCTGTTTCAAGCTTTGTAGTATTTAGCACAGAAAAGTAGCATTATGGCTCAGTTTATTTGGTAATCTTTTCTTAATTATGGGAATATATATGAATCTAAAATAAAAGTTTATGCTGAAAAACAAAACAAAACAAACACCTTTCCATTTTCTATGCATGCATTCCTTTTTAGCCACAGAAACACCAAGAGTGGGATATAAAATCTCACCTGATCTTACAAGTGCAAAAAATAGGCACCTAATTCAAAGCTAGTCACCATAGGCTTCCTTTATAATTAATAGAAAAACATAGATACCTTCACAGAAGGATCTTTTCAGATGTGTTGTTCCAATGCCTACATTAGGATGAGATGAATAGCTTTCTGAAGGTGCCTGTCTTTTCCAGTTGATTTGAAAAGGGACCCCAGTGTGACTTAGATGCCTGAGGTAAGGGAGATTAATCCTACCTTAGACTTAAGGGGGCAAAATTGCCTGGTTTCTCTAAATGTCTGTAGACTTCAACAAGGCTAAAGAAGTTTCCATTACAGATCAACAATTTCCCATACTTCATATTTTCTGAAGAACACATTTATAAACATTTGCTTAAGGTAGTTCTTAGTAGCTAACATATATGAGAAAATAAAAGAACAAGACCTTCCCCTTCCCCACCCTGTCCTCAACAGGATGCTTTTGAGTACCTGCATTAACATTTTGCTTGACTGACTAAGCCAATTACTAGTATGCAGTGAAGCAGTGCTACTTCAAGGGGGGCAAGATCATCATAAAAGAATGTCCCCTAACTTCTGTAGAAGGAAAAATGATGACTTTATTAATACACTATTACCATCGGAATAGGATGCTGGGGTGAACGAATGAGTGCCACTTTTGAAAGGCTGTGAATGTATCCTGACCTGGTAAGTGTCTAACAATGGGTGTAATTATCTTTTCCGTGGTGCCATATCATTAGTTGTCACTTTAATTGTCACACCAGTCACTTGACAAAGATTTTTTTGATGTGTAATACTAGAAGCCAAGCCCTGTGAAATGCTGGTGAATTAGACTTCTCGGCGTTCCAGAAGAGTTGCACCTATCCAGAAAAAAAGGACAGCAGGATCTCTACACCAGGGCTTAATTATGCACAGATTTACAGTGTACTGTTGCTTCTGCTAGATGGTGTAGTAGCTAAATGGGTATTTCTGAGTGGGAATGGCAAACAAAGAATGAATCCCTGAGCTGCCTTTTTCTCAGAGACAGTGGGGGAGGGGGAACAGTGTAGTCATACTGCCAGGAAACCTGCAATAAATGCAAATTGATAGTTATACTGTGCACAAATTGACACTTTTTATAGTCATGATGTTTGTCCTAGCAAAATTTAAATGCACTGGTGTTGATGCAGTCACACTCTTCCTGCTTGCTCCAGCCTCCCCCAGCAGCTGGGGTCAGCAGTAAGGACACAGAGCGCATGAAGTATGGTTGGCCACAGCAAGACCCAGATGCTAAGCTAAGGATGATATCTTTTCAGTAGCTGCATCTGGCTATTTGGCAGGCTCTACAGGCTGATCTGCTGGCAGGCCTGGATTTGCCTCTGGGTCTGTCATCTGTCATGTTGTTACGCTGTTGATGGGCTGTCTCTGCTGTCTTGCCCTCCCAGACTGCATTTGCCTTTCAGCTGCTTCTGCTGCTGAGGATTTTGCTGCTGCTGCTCAACATTTAAGGACAAGAGGATGGCAGTATGCTGCTAAGATGCGTAGTTCAGAGTGCAAGATCAGGACAGCGTTCTCAGAATCAGAAATATGCTTGGCACACGCTCGTTAATGCGTGATTTAAAAAAGCAGCCCTGCAGATTTGGAATTGACTTGCAGACTATTTGTTATGCTTTGCTGCTAGTTAGTAATTCAGGTCTCCGATGACTCATGCACCTTTGTTTTTAATTACGACACTTTCATTTCAGCATATACCTGATGATGACATGTACAATCGTTGATTAGCAAAGCAGAAGCCTTAATGAGCACGGGGTAGCTTAGTGAGCTGGCTGTAAAATAAATAAGAAATGTATCAGAAATTTCTCTGTTCTCTGCTGCATGGTGCATAATAACTTGAAGAAAACAGTTAAAATAAAATATTAACCGGCTAGCAGAACTGGGAAAACAGCTCACTGTTAACGTGTCCAGTAGTGAGAGAAAATTACAGGTTTCATTGTGTATGCTGCACCATCTGCCTACACAGAGAGCCTAAGCCGTAGGCTCTCCCGAGGGAAATAGCTGTGGATAAGTTATTCAATTAGAACAGCATTATTGGCCAGCTACCTTGGAGAATTGGGTTGATGATGTTGTGATTATCCCGCTCTACATTCCTTCATGTCCCAGACAGGCTGCATTGCTTTGCAACTTCCTTAAGTGTTCACTCAACTGTACAGTAGGTGAGCAATTGAACCAGGGAACGTCAGGGATGCCTGAAAGAAAATCAATTTTGAATGAACTTTCTCTGCTTAGCCACAGCCTACATATTCTGAGTCATATTGTATTTTTGTGGACCTCAGTGTACTAAGTGACAGAACTGGTAGTGGGAGGAAAGAGAATTTCATTGCGTGCATTTAACCTGTGGCTGGGCACCAGGACTCACATGGTAGGATACAAAATAGGGCAATACTCCTTCAAGTGTGGCATTCCTGTCACATCCCATTAGTGATACAGAAGCTTTGAAAGACCACATTAAGACTGTTTTGAGAAACTCATTTGGTTCTTTACCACCAAGGTTCAAAGGTAAAATTCTCTTCTTCGAAAGTTTTTTCTTTCAAAACAGAACAAATCAGGGTCTGATCCTAATCTTGCAAACCCATTATTTTGCTGGCCTCCTGCTGAAGTTAATGATATCTAAGAAGCACCATAATATTCTCAAAATAGTGCTCTCAGTCTCGCCTTGCTGCCTGCATAGGGACCTAGAGAAACTTGTCTAATCATTTTTATTCTTATTTTTTCTAAAAAAGAGCAATGCTTCATCTTAAAAATTTGATTTAATTTTTAAAAATAAAATCAAAACTCCCCACCCCTTTTCATAATCTAGTGTTGCTCTGCTTGTCCCTGGTCTACTTCAATTTTATCAATTATGGGATCTTAAGACTGCAGGGTCTTGCTGTACCATTTATTTTGATGTCTTGTGTCATGCAGACTGTAGAATTTTCAATCTCATCAAAAGGATTGGTGTCCTTTTAAATTAAGTGGCAATAGTTTATTATTTTTCCATCAACACTTAAAAACTCTTCCATTTTTTCAGTTTTTCCTACATTCAAAATTGTAGTCATATTTCTTTCATGGTATGTCATGCACTGATCTAGTCTGGGAAGTCTAACAGGGAACCTTGCAATGAGAACCCCTAGGAGAGGCACATTTTTAAAATGTGTTTTAATCAGAGCTGAGCTCTCCTGGAAAGGTGACATGTCTGCTCTGAGTTCACATCATGATCAGTAATCTTTTCCCCCTTCTTCAAAGCTGGATGTCTTGTTAAACAAAGATGTACATCATCTACAAGGTCCACAGGAGGGAGGCATTTGAGAAGTGACAAACGAGGTCACTGGATTTGCAGCTGAAGCATCCTCGGATAAGTTCTGAAAGGTCCAGTCTCTGAAAATAGCAGTGATGCCTCATGGCTGATGACACCAGGTCAGTTTGTTTCATTTTTTATTGTTTTCATTTCACTGTTTACTTTTTCATCATAGAGGTTCAGCTGGGCTGGGCAGCTGAGAGATGCTGTGACTGTCTATCTTGTCCTCAGTGCAGTGCCTTGCTCAGAAAGAGAGGAGACATCATCAGCTGTCTTAAAAAACCAAAGCAGGGCAGTCCATGAAGGAAGGAGAGGGAGGACTCTGAGGCTGTGGGAGCTCTCATACTTTAGGAAAATTTAGATCATGTGACTTCCTGTGTCTTGAAGGAACAGGATAAAAAACAATGTCTAGGAATGAAGTAATACCATTTACTGATGTACATTTGCATCAACAGTTTTGAGCTATTTTCTGCAAATCCTCTTTGTGCAGTGTCTTACACAAGTTATTTCCCACGTCCCATCCTCCCTTTTGTCTGAACCACTGATACCTCCAGCGTGCATCTGCTCACCGGGAGTGACCTGTACTGTTGCATCTGTGTGACTTTTAGACAGCGGGGTGGAGGCTTTAAACTTTGTGATTGCAGGGAACCAACATATAAGGCATGAATATTGATGAAGCACTGCTGCGACGTGTGCTCATACTGCTAATGACAAAGATGATAATAATAAGGGCCCCGACACCCAGCAAAAAAATCCAGTTTCTTCTTACATGGTGCCTCACTGAGTGCCTCTGGAAAAGACAGAATTCATCTGCCAGCTCCTTGTAGGGCCATAGAATTTATTGACTTCTTAACTTCTTCCACTCTATGAAACCATCTTATTTATTTATTTATTTATTTATTTATTTATTTATTTATTTATTTATTTATAGACTATGACACAGAGATTAATATGGGACTCCTGGGATATGCAAACCACCAATTGAAGGGAGTGCCATTTTCCTTTTATACTACCAGTGGAGAAAATAGTGCCAGCTGAACCCATCTGCTCATCTACTGATGAATGTGAAGTTATTAGTTGGGTGTTCATTCAGAGTTTTCATATCCATTTTTTTGTGTATTTCTACTTAACATTGTAATTTGAAAATGTGTGGTATCTGTAACAATACACTGTGTAACATAGCCTGGTTGCAAGAATGTATTACAGTCTTTAAAGGAATCATTATTTTGTATTAGTTTTGAGTCTTATTTCTGGTGAGGAAAAAGCTTCCAGAAAGGTGTATTTCCTTAAACAATTATCTGTCTTATAGGTACCTTTGTTTCACATTCTTGTGCCATGTTGTTGATGTCTAACAGAAAAAGTATTATACCTTTTGCATAATTTGAGCAAGGTCAGGAGCTGCACTTGACCCTTATCGGTCCCTTCCAGTTTAGGATATTTTGTTCTGTTCTGTCCTAGCTGGATGTTGAGAGCTTTACCTTGGGTGTTTTGTCACTCACCTCAGCAGGACTGGGATTCATCCATAGGCCCTTCATTTATGGTGACATTTATTCTCTTTCTGCTGCTTTCTTAAATATACATATACAATTCAATAACCTCATTAAATGATTTTTAAAATATATTTATTGAAATAAATATAGGGCAAGGCTGCAAAGGTAGATGAAGCTACCATACTTTTAAATAATAGCTTTGCGAGAACCACGTACTGTGCCTTTCTGTCTACATCAACAAGAATTTCAGCAATGAGATAGTAAGAAGGGAAACAGTTATGGCAGTATGATTCAACTCAACTTTGCACAGACTCCAAGAAGCACACAAATAAATGCACTTCATAAACCGTCATCTTTTACACGTGGTTCATTATTAGCATTTCTGGGTGTATAGGTGGTATATTTTAAAATGAGAGATTGTACTACTTACTTTTTAAAACTTTGTTCTTCCTGTAGAAGAGACAAAGGTGTGGTCCTTCTGTACCACAGTCTGGTGTGCAGTTTCCAAAATGACAAGAGCTCTCCATGCTCTGTTTAGGTGGAGCATACCTGAGTTGCTCTTGAGATGAGATCCAGTACTGTAGCCATGGATCTGACCCCAGGCTATGTCTGGAGCACAAGGAACTCTGCACATCATTCCTGTTTGTGAAGTACTTTTTGGAGTATCTTCTTGTGCTAATATGGGGATGTGGCTGGCAGCATCCTGCACTGCCTGCTGAGGAAGGCCTCAAAGAAGTCTGGGAAAAAAGGGAATGATATGCTGGGTTAGCTAGAGCTGTCATTGAAAGCTGTGGTTTATACTTTCACTTTGCTCAATATTTTTTTAAAGTTTCAATACTGAAAGTGAAAATTGATTATTTTTACTCTCTAAAGAAGAGCATACAGACTCAGCAAGAGATCATGACAAGGGCACAAAAAATAAATGAAGCTTGAAAAATGAATCTTGAGTCAAATGAAGTAAAGAATGGGAAAAATGTGGTGCTATAGAGACGTCTAATTGTTCTGTTTTACTATGATTTCCCTCATCCAGACATGAATAATCCTGAGATTCTCTGTTAGCCTGGCTACACTGACTTCTGAAGAGACCTGGCAGTAGGAGGAAAAAAAAAAAAAAAAAAGGAAAATCTTAGTATAAACGCCCTGCATAGCAGTGGTAAATGGCTGGTTGTACTACTGACGGCAAAATTTTTGTATGGCAGAATCAGGCAAACCAAGGTAACTGGCTTTTATGGTCTTGATCTAACCAGTACTGGAGTGAGCTGTGCCAAAGAACAGTGGCAAGCTTCCTGCACCTGGGAAAAGGTAAGTCTGGAGAGTCCTGAATGGATCTGCAGCTGAGTTCCTGATCAAGCTCCTGAAACTTATATTAGTAAGTCTTTATGTGTACACAAAAGCCAATATATATTTTTTACCACATTCTTTGGTTTGGTCAGTTATAGAGTAGGACACATTTTTTTGCTTTCTTTTTTTTTTTTTTTTTTTCCCAAACTAAACATTTGAGATTTTGAGGTGTTTTTGTAAATTCGCTTCCTGAAGGACTGTTTTGTACCTGAAGTTCAGATAAAAGCCAATGTCAACTGCTTTGAAAGGAGCACTCTTCAACAAACATATTATTACTTAGGTCACTGCAACCATATATTATCATTACGATTAAAAAGTCACTGAAACAGTCCCTTGAAGTCTATGGGAAGAAACTAGATGTTCCTACTGGACAGTATCTTTGACAGCCAGTCATCTGGGATGTGCGTTTATTGTTCTAACAGGAGTAGGCAAAGGAGTATGGAGTGCAAAACAAATGCTATCTCTACAAAGTATCTGTTATTATTTAATTGTTTTTAAACCCTATTTTCGAACATACTCTTCATCTAAATGTTGTTCTTGGAAAGATTTCAGAACTGTCCAATGTCAGTAGAGAACAAGGAGATTTTTTGTACACATCTGCCTTTGAGAATTTTACAATAATGCATATTTGTGTTGTTTCATTTTTTTACATGCTTTCCCCTCAGGGAGAGTTCTGTGTTTGGAAGAACATGTTAATTTAACCCTTGAGTAGAGCTGAAGCAATAACAGTTTGCCCCTGTGGGAAACTGGTGGTGATAGTGAAGAAACAAGCTGTCAGAGATTGAGAGTATACTTTGTTTCTGTTACTTGTTTCTGTGTGTGCTGAGAATCAATGTATATATGTATACTTAAGGTGCATGCTTGAACATATGTTTAAAAAAAATGCTATTGCATGAGTAAGATAATCAGGATTTTGGAGAGACTGATGTCAACATTGCCACAGAAATGTGAAATCATCTTGTCACAAATGTCAGAAGTGTTCTTAAAAAAAAAAAAAAATCCTTGATTTTTAAATAAAATCTGAGACTGATACAAAGGGAAGAAAAAGAGACAATCCCAATCCCAGAAAGGTGTCAAGAAATTCAGGTGGTTTTTCCAAACAGGTACTTAAGAGATTAGTTTAACAAAAAAAAAAAAAAAAAAAGGAAAATAAAAAATGGAAAAGGGAAAGGAAAAGGATTTAGAACACATAAATGTTCTTAATTTTTAATGCAAGCTTACTCTGCATGGGAGACAAAGGATAAGATGTGTCTGATGAGATAACTATTCTCCCAGCACTTCGTATTAGGTAAATGTCTTCCTATTAGCTTTTATGAACAGAGCTAATTGTGCCAGCAATGGGAATTTACATTTAAAGAATAAACTCTTGATCTTTAAATGCTGGCAAGATTAATTATGAGAGAAATATTAGCAGATACTCTTTCTGTGTTTTTCGTTTTGTTTTATTTTGTTTTTTTGCTGTAAATTTTTGGTGTGTTACTTTACAGAGCAGTAAGAAGGAAGGCATCTGTCAGCACTGGGCCCAGTTTGTAGCTCTTGCTGGAGTCCAGCTGACTCCACAGAAGCCAAGCACTGCCCAAGGCAATGCTCCTCAGGATTAAGGACAAACTAATCCCTGAAAGAGAAATGCCAGCTCTTGGATAAAATAATGAAAGAAAGACTATTTGGAGACCTGTAAAACACTCCTAAAACTCAGGCATCAAATTCCCTTTTGTGGCATTGAAGATCAAGTCCCTGATGTTGTACGGTTTCATAAATGGTGGGGGAGTCTTTAAAATTCATCCAGTTACCAGCTGAAAAGGGAAATGTATGCAGGACTTGTACTTGCAGTTGAAAGCCTGGGTTCACTGAGCCTTCATTTTGGAATAATCCCTCTTCCTGTAGTCTGCAGTCAGAAAGGGACAATCTGAAAATATGCAGAAAATACAAAATGTTCAATTTTGCTCTAGTTTCCACCTCAGACAGACATGGCCCAGCTGAGCATGCTGTACCACACCACCATTCAATTAAAATGTTGGCAATATGGTAAGTCTAACCAAATCTGGCATGCCAAGCAATCTTAAAACCTCAAGACATTGTTTCCAAAAACAATTCTTACACAGCAGGAGGTTATTTCTTTGCATACATTTCCAAGCCTATTTCAGATGACACTTAATTCCAAAACCTTTCTCTCTCCTTTTATTAGCACTAAGTTACCAGTACTCAGATGTCTCTACCTCCTTGCTATCTTATCAGCATCTTTCCATGCAAAGTTTTTCTACTGAAGGGTTCTCATTCCTGAGCAGGTACCCAAGTTTTGTTGTTGTTGTTGTTTGTTTGTTTGTTTTTTGTTTTTTGTTTTTTTTTTTTTTTCCTTAGGCGATGGCACGCAGCAGTGTTTAGAGAATCACCAACTCCTTAGGTTTACTGTATCCTTTCCAGAGTGTAACTTTGAACACTCAGAAAAAAAAAAAAACTTCTAGGGGGAAATGATGGGTTACCAAAAACAACCAATACCAACTCTGAGTGTTCATTTTTCTTAATCAACCTGTTCTACAAGCTAATAACACAAATGAAATGTTTTGCAATAAAAATGAGACTCCAACAGGAAAATACAAGAGAAAGAAGAAAATACATTTTTTTATGTATTATAAAAATACATTTATGTATTTTATATGTATATATGTATTATAAAAATACATTTTTTTTTACTGTTTCCATTCTGAGTCATGTCAAAAGTTTATTTTTGTTTCTCCAATAATTTAGTGTCAATATCAAGATACAGCATATCTGTCTTAAATATTCAAGTCATATTTTCTTTTAGTATGCTGAGATAAACAAGCTGATAAAGTTGATAAAAGGTGAGGAAGGCATGGCCAATGAGCAGAAGCTTGGGTTGTCTGGTCTGGAGAAAAGAAGGCCAAGAGGCAACCTCATTGCTCTCTATAGCTTCCTGAGGAGGGGAAGCAGAAAAGGAGGTGGCTGTCTCTTCTCCCTGGTAACTGATGACAGGACACACAGGAGCTTCCTAGAGAGATGGTTGATGTCCCAGGCCTGTCAGTGTTCAGGAGGAATTTGGATAACACCTTCAATAATATACTTGAACTTTTGAAAGAGAGTCAGGCAGTTGGACTTGGTGATCTTTATAGGTCTATTCCATTCCATTCCATTCCTCCAGGATCTGGAGGATGATCCAATTATAAGTTGAAGAAACTTACACCCAGGATGACTGACTGGAGATAGAAGACTCTGAGAGTGTTACAAAAAGAGAAAGAAAGTGAGACAGTGTGTGAGAGTAAGCAGGTGTTGAGATCCCTGAGCTATCACTGGAGAGTGTCCAGCTGATAAGGAAGCATACGAGATTGACTGCTGATCAAGCCCATTTACTCTTTTTATTGCTAACAGCTGCTGTCCTTAGGCATGGCTGGGCAAAGCTTAGTGTTTAACCCCTGCAGCTTTTGATCTGATCTTCTGCTTCAGCCACTATGGCTGTGAATTCTTGGATTGCCTGGGCACAAGCTGGGAATTCTGAGTTACAGTCCTCATGGTGTGAGGACTTTTGGTCTGAAAAACTAGACAAAACTCAAGGTGTTATGACTTTTTCCCATAAAAAGAAGAGATTGATAATGAAGCTAAGATTTCCTTGATGAAACTCTGAGTCTATAAAGGATATAAACAATCTTGTTTCTTTAACTTCAAGAGGAATAAAACAAGAAATTATTTCTTCACTCACAATTTCAAAGTTATACAAGCCAAATGTGCAATTGAAAATTCTTTCTTACTTTATATCTGCATTTTCTCTGTCAAGCTAGCATTACATCATTGATGATTCTTTCTTACCTCTTTTTTTGTCTTTTTTTTTTTTTTTTTTACTATAAAAGATCTTTTTCAAAGCTTTTCTGTCAATATCATTCACTCTCCTGAGCAATTTCAGTGTTGTATGTACCAGTGTTTTCAGCAGAAGACCCTGTTGTTTTAGCAGCATGAGTCCGTATGGAATTTCTTACAACTATCCTTAAAGAATGATTACAGTTATATGCTCCTGTTTCAGCTAGACTTAATCCATGCCATAGCAGTATGCTTGGACAGGACTGGTGGTTTACCTACACTTACTACTGTGGCACAAAAGAACCAATAAAGCAAGAGTCTTATACTTGTGTTTCTTCAACACCTTGCCCTCATTTTTTTGTAGTTGTTTGTTTTGCTTTGTTTAGTTTATTTATTATTTTTGTAATAATACTGGCATTTAAAATAAGTGAAATAACATGAGCTTTACCCAAGTCTTCTATCCCATACTAAGACATTTTAAAGGATTTCTGACTGCATGAGTTAACAAGGGAAGAAAGACCAGTGTTATCTACCTGTACTTCTGGCCTTTGACACAGTCCTACATGACATCCTGATCTCCAAATTGGCAAGAGATGGATTTGAAGGGTGGACCATTTAGTGGATAAGGAATTGGCTTGAAAGCCACACACACAGAGTTGTGGTTAACAGCTCTATGTCCAGGTGGAGGCCGGAGATGAGTGGTGTCTCTCAGGGTCTGTCTTGGGACTGGTGCTGTTTAATATTTTTATCAATTTTATATCAATTTATATCAAATTATATCAATTTTAATATTTTTATGAATGATATAGATAGATTGAATACACCCATGGAAAGTTAGGAACTGACTGCAACCCCCATTTTCCATGCAGTTTCCCTGCACTGCTTGGAGAAAGGATATAGAAGAAGGTGGGTGAGGGGAAGATGTTTTTAGTTTGCTTTTTGTTCTCACTTGTTCCCTAGCTTGTTAGTAATAGGTAATAAATTGTATTAATCTCTCTGTGCTGAGTGTGTTTTGCTCATGATGATAATTGTTGAGAGATCTGTCTGTCCTTATCTCACTGCTTGAGCCCTTTCCATTGTTATTTTCTCCCTTTCCCTTTGAGGAAGGGGAATGAGAGGGCAGTTGTGATGGAGCTCAGCTGCCCACCTGAGTAAAACCACCACAGCAGCATCAACAGAGCCATGGCTAGCAGGTCAAGGGAGGTGATTGTCCCCCTCTGCTCTACCTTCATGAGGCCTCACTTGGAGTGCAGCATCCAGGTCTGGGTCCCACAGCACAAGAAGGATGTGGACCTGTTAGAGCAGGTCCAGGCTATGAAAATGCTCAGACGGCTGGAGCATCTCCACTATGAAGACAGGGAAAGCTGGTGTTGTTCATCCTGGAGAAGAGAAGGGTCTGGGGAGACTTCACTGAAGCATTTCAATACTTAATGGGGGCTTATAAAAAAGATGGAGAGTGAGTTTTTGCTTGGGCAAATAATGATAGGACAAGGGATAATAGTTTTAAGCTAAAAGAGGGGAGATTTAGATTAGATGTTAGGAGGAAATTCTTCACTCAGAGAGTGGTGAGGCACTGGAAGAGGTTGCCCAGAGAATCTGTGTAACTCCCATCCCTGGAGGTGTTCAAGGCCGAGTTGGATGGGGCCTTGGGCAACCTAGTCTGGTGGGAGGTGTCCCTGCCCATGTCAGAGGATTGGAACTAGGTGATCTTGAAGGTCCCTTCTAACCCAAACCATTCTATGATTCCCATGATTCTATGATTTCATACAGGTACTTCCTCATGATTCTGCTTTCAGTGCAGAGATAACTGTAATAGTTATCTAACGTTAGTGGGATTGATCAGCTTTGCTATTGAGCTGTAATGCGCACCAAAGTAGGAATTATTCACAGCTGCTTTCTTTACTTTAACAATCTTAACAAGATTAATACCTCATAGCTCCCCAAATCCTGTAATAATACTCTATGACCTGCCATGCCCACCATGTTATTGTGCATTTCTACTCTTCTACTTCAGTACACCAGCTTAGCCAGAATTTCAGCTTGATTTGTTTCTGCTACACAGCTGCCAAAACAAATGCCTTTGTGGGTAAAGGTGATTTATAAATAGTTGCAGTACTTGTTACTGGGCATGGTTTAAACACTTGCCACATCATCATGGAGGAGTTTCTCACCCTGTTGATTTTGTGCATTTGTGTAGGCACAGCCACAGTCTTTGGCCCTCATTGCTCTAAGCAGAAACAGTCTTCTTAACACAGTTTGAGATAATATTAAATTAAACTTGCTTGAAATTGTTCCAGTAAACGGTCAATACCAAGCTTTGAAGTTTCTGTTTGTAAAGGCAAATGAAGGAAGGGCACAGAACACTGCTGGTTTTGCACTTCAGTCTGACCAGAATTGTGGCAAATAAGGGAGAAAGGAATTGATTAACAGAGAAGAAGAGACCTCCAGAATCAGAAGGGCTCAAAACTTTGTTCATTTGGACCAGAGGTCATCAGGGTACAGAGAAGCACTCTGAATGCAAGGAGGCAAGATTTTGAAAGATCTTATACTCCTTTTACTGTGGATGTGAGTAGATGCTCTGTGGGCCACAGCTGAAAAAAAAAATAAATAAATCATAATTTCCTTTGAAGGAAAATGTTCTCCTGTTGCTCTTTAGCTAGATTCCTTGACTTTATTTTAAAACAATCATAGAGCTGGACCTACCTTAATATCACAATATGAAAATGAAAAAATAAGTGCTAGAATACCCCTATCCATCGTGTTTTTATCCTAGACCATAAACAACTGCAAGAAATGGTGGCGGGCCAGCTCAGTTGTCTCATTCCAGAAAACTGTGACTCAGCAATGCTACCTCCACAGATATCACTGCCATAATATAACCAAAATCTGTGATAGAGCCTTACTTATTAAACCTCAAGCTCAGCTCAGAAAGTCCCATTAGACTAACTGAAAGCTTTGAAAACTGTATTATGATCTTGATTATACCAGCATAGGTCCATATCCACTTCATGGAATATCGTGAGCATCAGACTCTCTAGCTTGTTTGTCTACAACGCAAAAACATTGATTCTACTTACATTAATCTTTTTTAACTATCACTGCAACTGGAACTACTGCATTTGCATTGGTAGCAATGAGCTGTGTATGGTGCAAGAGCCACTTAAAATAAGAAGCTTTAAAAGTCAAGAATAATTCTACAGACTTGAATCAGGTTGTATCCTTAGTTACAGTATCCTTACTTACTGACTTCAACCACTTTTCTGACATATGGCATGCATTCAGAAAATAATTTACTTTGTTTTAATTTGTCTTATGATCTTCAATTAAGAGGAGTTAATCTTGCTATTGAGAGTCATGATTACTACAGTTATACATTCTATCTCTGCAGGATTCCATACAAACAGAAAATATCCCAGTGTTCGAAAAAAGACACATCTGGAAACTTACTTTGTCTCTTTTATGCTACTGCTGTTCCTTAGATGGGTGAAAAGAAAATGCAAGACCTTCTTATTTCATAAAACTGTAGTCAGGCAAGAACTGAAGGATTCCCTAAAACCAGATGCTGTTTCAGTTCCACTGGGGGTAATTTAACACACTAAAGAAGGTTAATAGGATAAAAAGCAAGTTTTTCATACTGAAGTCACTTTTGCAAAGGTGCCATCTCATAGTCCGTGACCCCTACAATGCTCAGGATAGAGTAATTCTTGGGATACTGAATTAATGTTGAATATTTCTGTCATCGCACCATGAATGGGGGAATTCCTTTGAACAAAGCAATATCTCTAATGTAGATACCTAATCTGAACTTCCATTATAATGCCAGTGAATAGGAGATACTTTGGGAGCATACATCTCACTGAAATAAAGATGAAATAGATGAGGCTCGCTAAGTTCTGCCAGTGCTTGTTTCTTTCCATTGAGGTGGGTTACCTAAATGATGAGCTCAGATGTAGGCACTTAAAATTAGTTGTGAGGATTTGCATCACTGGGACTAGTGTTCATCCAGTGGGACCTAGAAAAATAATGAGACTTCAAGCTGCAGTATGGTAGATTTAGGTGAGATGATATAAAGTTCACCACCAGGCATTTCAGTGATTTGTTTGTAGAGGACACAGAACCTCCAACAGTGCAAGATTTTAAGAACATACTTATTGCAGATACAGTTGACCCAGTCCTGAAGTAATGAAGTGGCTTTCAGGGTATCAAGGTGAGCTTTCAAGGTCCTTTCCAGCCTACTTTTTTGGTAATTATGACCATGATGAGGATGGGAAATACAATGAAATTCTCTAAATTAAATAGCAAAACAGCAAAGTTAAAGGCACTATTGTGTAGATTGCTACCTTTTCATATGGAACATGGATGTTGCCTCACTTCCTCATTGTTCAGTGTATCTCAGCACAAGTCCTTTGCAGTCTCCCAAACACTTTATCTTAGCAGACATTCATTTTCATAATGGCACTTTGCCTTGTATTTGATGTCAATTGTAAGCACTTTGGCAACTTTATGCTCAAAGTCTGTAATCTCTCACAAGCCTGAAAAAAATCAGAAAAATTAAGCATGTTCAAATGCATGTGAGATGTTTTTCCCCAAAGTGTATTCAAGTTTTACTAAATACGGAGTAGATTACAATGCAACACATATATTTAAACTGGTAAATCAACAACAAATTGGGGAAGACATTTTTTTGTTTTGTTTGTTTGTTTGTTTTGAGGGTGGAGAGGAGGGTGAGGAGCTGCTTTCTTTTCAACTGAAGATATGACAAAGCAAACTGGTACCTGTTGATTAGGTAGAGAAAAAAAAAAAAAAAAAAAAAAAACACTACACTGTTACAAATGCTTTATCTCCTCACTGATTTCTGTCTTTATTCAATTTTCAGCAAGGCCTTGTCAGAGGATCAGGGAAAACAGAGCAGCCTCTTTTTGAGCTCACGCAACTATTGTTTTTTGGAAGTGCTGACCAAACAACCCTCAGGTGCATAGCTATGGCTGGGGAAATTGTGATTATTGTTCCAAGGACTTGCCATGGGGAAGCTAAGCATGGATTCTTAATCTGTACCAGATGGGACCACGGCTCTTGCATTTTGCAGAGAAGTATTTAGAAGCATTCTGAGAATAAATATGATAGCCTGCAGATTAGTGTTAACATGAATTTCACACAAATTAAAACTACTTACCACTGCCAGGAAGAACATAAATGAAAATACAATGAGTTTTCAGCACCACACCCAACAGTTTTTAAAAATGTTCTATAAAATGTGAATCTAACCTTTTTTTTTTGTTTTCTTCTATAATACTTTGCATATGTAAAGATCTAGAACTCAGTGGTTCAGGCACTGAGTAGAGGGGTGTGGGATTCCTCCCAGCTGCCCTTGCATTCTGTCTGCAGACTAGATACTCACTTTTAATTCTCTCATTTTGCTCTCTAGTCAGTGGAGCAAAGCAAACACTTATACGAATTATAAGGATTCATATGGTGCTTTTCTGAAGTACTCTGAGATGAATTGATCTCCATTGACCATAAGGAGAACCCAGACAGACAGATGTAAATGTCTAAATCTGGAGAAAAGTCTCACACCATAGTCCTCTCTTTGCTGTTACAGATGGAGCTGAAAAAATCCATTTAACTGTCAGTTCCACCTCTGGCTTCTCTGCTGAGTTTGTTGATTGGTTTCATGATAGTGATGTTTGGCAAAGAGGCTCTAGAAATAGAATCATAGAATATCCTGAGTTGAAAGGGACCCACGAGGATCATCAAGTGCAACTCCTGACTCCACACAAGGCTACCCAAAAATCAGACCATGTGTCTGATAGCACTGTCCAAACACTTCTTGAACTTTGGCAGGCTTGGTGCTGTGATCACCTTGCTATACAGCCTGTTCCAGTGCCCGACCACCCTGTGGGTGCAGAACCCTTCCCTAACACCCAGCCTGACCCTCACCTGTCCCAGCTCCATGCCGTTCCCTTGGGTCCTGTCGCTGTCCCCAGAGAGCAGAGCTCAGTGCCTGCCCCTCCACTCCCCTCGTGAGGGAGCTGCAGGCTGCCATGAGGCCTCCCCTCAGCCTGCTCTGGTCTGGGCTTGACAAAGCAAGGGACCTCAGACACTTCTCATAGAACCATAGAATCATTAAGGTTGGAAAAGACCTCCAAGATCATCTGGTCCAACCACCAACATAGTACTACTGTCACCTGTTGCAGGAAGAATCCCTCAACAGTCACCCACTAAACTGTCTCGCCCTCTAGACCTCTCACAATCTTCATAGCTCTCCTTTGAACACTCTTTAATAGTTTTATGTTCTTCTTATATTGTGTCACCCAAAACTGTGCACAGTGAGGCCACACTAGCACAGAGAATCACTTCTCTCAATTGGCTAGCAATACCATGCTTGATCCACCCCCGTGTATGGTTGGCCCTTTTGGCTACTGGGGCACACTGTAGGCTGGTATTCAACTTGCCACAACCAGAGGGCTGCTCTCCAGCCTCTTGTCCCCCAGTCTGTACGTATAGCCAGGGTTGCTCCTTCCCAGGTGCAGAATCTGACACTTGCTCTTGTTAAACTTCATGCAGTTAGTGTTTACCCAGCCCTCTAATCTATCAAGATAGTATGTCAAAATAGTATGAAAGTTATTAACTTTTTGAAGTCAGGGCGTTACCAGAAAGCAGTAATCATTTTTGACCAAAAGTTATGGAGGCATGCACCACACCAAGCACATACTTTAAATATGAAATTAGCAGCACTGACAAGTTAAGCACTTGCTTAAGTGCTCTACTGGATCGAAGCCCTAATTTTTAACCAACAACCAACTTCCTTTTGCCAACAGAGCTCTGATGGGAACAAATTACTCAGTTGGGGTATTCTACAAAAGAAGAATGTGTCTTCTGTGACTGAAACAAAGCTATCCTTTAGATTTTAATGAGAAACCTTATTTTTAAAATAATAGGAAGAAAAAAAAGATTAGGGAAAAATTTCCCTTTCAGTTCTGTTCTGTGAAGCCATGAGTCAATATTTTTATTAAAACAAGGCGTTGTTCTTTTTCTTCTGGTGTTCTTTTTTTTTTTTTCCTTCCCTTAACTTGTGAAGTCTAAAGTGGTTTCAGAAGGTAAATCTTCAATTCTACTTGGCATGCAGAATGCCAGAGAAAAGTGCTAAATTGGCAATGAGGGGAAATATTTGTACTTGTCAGCTTTACTGATTGAATAATAGATTTTTGAGTAGAAAGTCATAAAAATTGTTCAGATAAAGAAATTACCTGACAAAAAGATTTTGCCTAAAGGAAAACTGACTTCTGATGGACCTAATTCACACAAAACTTTTCTTCCCATTTCATTTTTTTTTTCTGCTAGATCTTTAATAATGGTTCTTTCTCTGCTCCTATTTTTAGACTTAAACACATTCAATTTGGTCTAAGATTGCACCAAGCAGTGTTCAAATTGATGTTTTACATGCACAAAGCATGCATAAAGTCAAAAAATTCATATTTAATGTTCGTTAACTGAAACTCATATTGGAGGTATGTCTCCAAACTACGAACTTAGTTTTTAAATTATTTATCTCAGTCTGTTGAAAGTTAAAAGATTATTTGGTTTCTGAAGACACTGCAGGCTTAATCTAAAGTACCAGTAGTATCAAAGCTCTAATATTCAATTCTCACCCCAAAATCTACATGCATAGTGAAAATTGCCCCTGTCCCTCATAAAAAAAAAAAAAAAAAAAAAAAAAAAAAAAAAAAAAAAAAAAAAAAAAAAAAAAAAAAAAAAGTGGAAATTAATTAATAAATTTTGTAGAAATTTGCCACATGACCAAAGGTTTATTTACACAATTCTAAACAGGGAAGAATAGCAAACAGGGTGTGTGCAGGGTGTGTGCAATTTCCAAAATATAAGGAATGTCATGGAAAATGCTCCACAACAGCCCATTTTTCTTTTCATAATGTGTAGAGCTCAATTTCAGCATGACTACCAACTGCACCTATGTCACAGCATAATATCCCCATGTATGTAAAAAGCAAGTTACCAGTTGTATGAGAATTTTAAGAGAGTTTCCTGAATCTTGTAGAACAAAAAGCCAACATCTGTCATAGTGCAAAGTCAGTGTTTCACAGACAGAACAGAAACGTGGCACCAAAATTAGAAAATATATTAAGGAATTAATTGTTTGACCCAATAACTACAGGCAGATTCAGTTTTAGCAGAAACAGCTTTCTTATGGACCTGGAGTCCATTGGTGTGATATTTAGGGTCTGATTCCTACAGCTATATGGATCTCTGGCAAGTTTGCAGGGAGTCCAGACTTCCACTTGGGTAAAGAAAACCAAAGGACTGAGTTCTTAGAATTAAATGCATCATAGTCATTTTTATAAGGGGCATTACACAATCCTTTAGCCTCCATAAAATTTATATCCGTCTAAAACTTTCATTCATTTCAGTAAGATTATACATATATATGTGTGTGTGTATATAAATGAAACTAGCCCATACACTCTCCTTCTGTTGACCCACTTTTATTAGGGCAGCAACTACTGATTTTTTTGAAATTTCCTCCTGAGACATCTGTTAAATAAGATCCAGATGTTATGTTTGAGTACTTTTCTTTCTTCTCTTTAGAGAAGAAATCTCTTCAGCTCTTCAACTGTGGTCACCTCTGTAATATTGCCTTACTTGTAATTTCATCTCATTCAAATTAATGTTGCTATCAGAATGTTGTATTATAGTTGTATTAAAATACCCAACTTGTATTAAAATACCATCTTTATTTCATTGGATCAAAATGTTTCAACATGATTCAAAGGACACTTAATCCTTCTCAAAGTAACTGAAGAACCAATGACTGTTTTCTCTGGTCTCTACTACTCCAAAACAGTCATTAAATGTCAAATTACATAATTAATAAAATTATAAGTAAATTTGTTTTAAATAAAAATGATTCACCTGAATACTTTGTCACTGAATTATCTTCAAATTCAGAAAGAGTTAGTTGCCAGAATATGTTGTTAAATAAATTTGAGTTTGAAAATATGAATTAAAAAGGTGTTAATTATGGAGCACATTTTGAAAAGCTGCTTCCCAATATTTTTAAGGCATGTCCCTTTTGAGGAAATTAGTGTTTGGATGCTACCAAGTACTATAGTGTACATTCTTTAAAGAAGGATTCAATTATTCAAACCCAACACCCACTCTGACTGGGGAAGCAGAAGGGTTTAAAGGGGAAGGCTTTGAATAGCATCCTTGAAGGAGGACTTTTGTTCTGCTAAGAGAAGACCTTAAAAGGTAGAGATTTTCCCAAAGCACTAACAACAAAGATACTCATTCCCTACAAGACACTGGATTTTGGAACAGGAGGGAGTAGGAATAAATTGAATACTTAAAGCATCTTACAGACACTTTTTACATGGGAAGATAGTGTTAGGACAAGGGGGAACACTTTTAAACTAGAAGAAGGTAGAGTTAGATTAAATATTAGTAGGAAATTCTTCACTCAGAAGGTGGTAAGACACTAGTGCAGGTTGCCCTGAGAATCTGTGGATGTCCCATCCCT